GATTAATTAGTTAAAATAATTCTTTTTCGAATGAGCTTCGAAGGCGTCCCGGAAATAAATGGCCGATGTACTAAAGAGTCATTTACTACATGAAAAAATATTGCCCGATAAGAAAATATTTATTCGAGATTTAACATTTTTGACGCGGGAAAATCAATTCGATATAATGTTTTATTTTATTTCATTTAATTCATAGACAATCGCCTAAATACATAATTTATGAAGAATATATATATTTTTGTTTAATATTTCATATTTATTTAATGGCAAGTAGGAAGCAAACAAATCAGACATTAATTTTTTTTAAATTGCCGAATTTGGGGAATTGTCGATTTGTGATGGGTCGAATAATTTGTTACAATTAATATAAATTATTATTTAAATAAATAATAATAAATTGAAAAAAATCTAATTAACGGATATACAGCCATTATGTTAAAATTTAATCCACAGATTTAAGACTAATATATTTTTTACTAAACTGATAATTAGAATATTTTTAATATTATGAAATATATCTTTTTATATGTGATATTGTTTAAAATGAAATCTTTACAAAATTCCACTTAATATGCATTGGTCCATAGATATAAACTTTACGCCCTACTTCATTTGAAGTAAAAAATAAGGAAATAACTATTTTACAACGGTTGATTGAATATTTCAATATATGTTACAAAATTTACATAATATGAACTTTTTGTATCCCCTTTCTCTGAAACTACTATATCGTTGAAAACACATATAAAATGAGGATTAAATATTTCGAATCATTTATATTTGGAACTACTAGTACGTGATACATATTATCATAGAGAATAAAAATAAAATGGATATTAAAATTATTTTGATTTTGTGCTTTTATTCAACATTTAATTTGATAAATAGTTTACCTCAAGATGATGTGTTTTCGAAAAGAGTTGTTCGTGCCGCTGCTGAGGTTTGATGATTATTTGTGATTTATAAATTGTGCAAAAAATATGTTATGAACATTATTATTAAACTGTGAAATAGCGCATATCTGCACTGCCCATACACAAATAGAAATATATAACAAATCCTCTTTTAAACAATTAAAATAAAACCATATTATCCAAATATATTTATATTTATATAAATAATAAATTTATAAATTTGCAATAAAAAAATATACTTAGTTGACCGCCGTATCTACTTAGAATCTTTATTATATTATATTTATATCAAAATTGAAAAGTTTGAATAACTATTATTTGTTATTCTGAGATCACTCTACGTATTTTAATAAAATAAATAATAAATAAATAAATATGAATATGATATATAATGTCAATTATGTCATCATAGCATAAAATAGTATTCTCAACAACAAAAGCCCCAATTTAAACTAGATTCTATATATTATATAATGTATAAAATATTATCATTATAAATTTCTTGTTCTTTTTTTAAAGTACACTTTTAACTGATATTAAGTTTTCCATTTTCTAAATTTCAATATTAATTTGAACCATTAATAAAACATCAATATCATATTTTTGAGTGAAATAAAACACAACAAATAGAATTAATTAAATAAATTTGCAATTAAACCCAAATCCAATCTTGCTTCTGTGATTTAAAGTGCATATTGTCCCAGCATATTGTCTTAAAAAATTATATTATTTTGATCGGAAATAAATCTATGCAAAAAAAGAGAAAAAGTGATTTAAAAACGTATATTCTATTCTATTTGTATTAATGTCAGAAATTAATTTTTATCGCAATGATTTTTCCTGCTTATCACCAAGCTTCCTAATTTCAATCTTTTTATAAAATATTTATAATTTTGGTACTTTAAACACGTCGCAACAAATTATTAAATTACATAAACCGATACTCTTTTATTTATGAACCGAATTGTAGTTAAACTA